TTAGTCTAAAAATTGTGAAACTTTGTGGATGAGTTACTCTAACTAAGGCCTTGATATGGGCCAAGTTTCAGATCAAAACATGAAACTTTATTTTTATGGTGGAAATGGGATCTCATAGGAAAATTCTAGTAAATATTCGATATCTCAGCTAAATCTCAACTTGCGCACATATCATCTTAGGCTTTTTCTAGTCTATATGTCCTCTACATATGGGCGGAATTTCAGCTCAAAAGCTTTTTGACACCTCGGGTGGTTCCCTCGTCAGTTAATACTGTTATTAGTTCCATATAAATCTTTCTTATTCACTGAGTAGATCAAAGTTATTTCCTCTAGCTCATTCATATGTACTCAAATACTCGATAAATTTGTCTGTCATCATATAACACCTTTAGCTTTCTATTGATTTTGTCTTCTCTTTTTCTTCCTTTTATACTTCTTTTCATCATATATATATATATCTTAAGTCACCAAACAGTATTACAGTACACTTGAAATACATTTATAAGGTTACGTGATGAAATCGCTGTAGTTAATATATAAACATTTATTTTAAAATAAGTTTATACGATTTTATTCTTTTGATATATATTATTAGATCACGAAAAGATTTAGTTTCTGGTCTGAAACCAAAAGTTCTGTAGCTGTATTACACAATAATTTGAATGTAATAATCACATAAAATAAGATGTATAACTAATAGGAATATGTATAATAAAAGCTTCAACTATAATACGTAAATGTGGCATCCTTTATGGCATCATACAATGGTTTGATAGATATCCAATTAATTTTTAAGAGTTATATACTGCAAATGATTGACAACGTTTACAATCTACACATGTACACCTAATCAGCGAAAACAACAAAGATAGCTTTATAATAGCTTTATATATAACGCCGAAAGAAAACAGAAGCAGACAAAAAAGTTTGATGATAGATAACTATATAATGTAGATATTTTTTGACTATAGGATCCTATCAAGACTCCGAAAAGCTTCTTCCCTATGATTCGAAATCCCATTGCATAAATCTTTAGTTTTTCACTTCGATTTCAATTTCGATGCCAAAAAACTTCGACAATTCATTACTGATAACCAGTCATCTGTTACATACTTAGTACATAGTTTATTTAGCAGGTAAAGAGGGCTAGTCCCGCCAATATTAATGCACTTTAACTCATATTTGTCATTACTGATTTAACACACTACTACTTTCATGAAACAATAAAGCAAACTGCGCAAATCATACCTTCATTCACAATATTCTCCAATCGATGAAACACTACCAATTCCATTTCTTCAGCTTCTTCAGGAAGAATAAGACACACTTTGTTAATCGATGAACTAGCAGTCATCACAGAAATGTTGCTTGATTGTATCTGAAACAGTCGCTCAGACGTATAACGAAATCTTTCAGCTATTTTTGAAATAGTTGATTTTTCAAACAAATCACTTGAACAAACAAAGCTACATGATAGTCTCTTGTTATCTGATAATGGATTGTATTCAAATGTTAATGAGAAGTCAAACTTAGACACTTCAGCTGACTGTTCTAGTGATATTTGTTCTAAGTTTGCATCATTCAAACTTAAATGTTCCACATTTCTTGACATACTGATGAAATCAAACATTGTCTCAAGAAATGATACATTCGATTGACTTGTTCGATTATCACCAAGAATATGTTGCAATGGATAATGAGAATGTTCAAGAATTGATAAACACTTTTCTCGAACATGTTTAACTACTTCATTAAATGACCAATGTGGATCAAGTTCAACACGATATGGTAATGTTGAAACAAACATTCCAATTAGATTTT